GCATATGCTGAGAGGCGTGGCGGAGAATGTCTTGGTAAAACTGGCCAAATAAATGGTTTCGATGTATATCTTTGGTCGTGTGAAAATGGACTCCATCAATGGGAAGCACCTTATAAAATCCAGAAGAATAAATTCGAATGGTGCCCACTTTGTTTCCATCACACTAATGAGCGCAGATGTAGATATATTTTCGAAGATCTGCTAGGTAAGAAATTTCCATCTTGTAAACCGTCATTTTTGAATGGGATGCAATTAGATGGATATAATGAGAAATTAAAATTGGCATTCGAATTCCATGGTGTCCAGCACTACTGTCGCAATAGTTTATATCACAAAAATCAAGATGATCTAGATAATCAAAGAAAGCGCGATCAAAAAAAGCAGGATATATGTGCTCGAGAAGGTATAGATCTTATTTGTATCCCGTTCGATTGTGATTTATTTCCCTATATAAAAAGTAAATTACAAGAGAGGTTATTTGTTGTATAAAGAATAAATTCGCAAATATAAGTACCCATGTCGTACATTAAATTATTGCAAAGCAATGATGATGCAAAACATCGAATCTCCGATTCCCCTTTGGGTTTACATCCTCTATATCTCCCTGAAATTTTAACTGAAATTTTCTCATATCTTGCTGAAGATAAAACATTATACCCGACCTTATTCGTAACCGGTTATGGTATTTATGTTCCGCCCCAATATTATGGAAAAGAGTCGAATTTGTTGGTCGTAAAAAATCCCTTATCTACTGGAAAAAATTCAAAGAAGTGGTACATACACGAAAACCTCTCTATATTTCAAAATTAAATGAACTTTATATTTCTAGATGTAAAGTCTCTGGTGGAACCTTATATCAGATTAGAGGTCTATGTCCAAACTTGCGACGCTTGACTATAAGCAACTGTCATGGATTTTCTAGCAAAACAATTGGAAAAATCGTATACCCGAACTTAATATATCTTAAATTCCACCGTAAACGTCATCGTATCAAAGATAAAACTATTTATAATATTGCATCTTCATGCCCAAATTTAACCTATCTCTATTTAGGATATAGTGAATACATCTCTGATATTTCTATTATAGAAATTGCCAAGTCGTGTCAAAAGTTAAAATATATCAATATAGGTGGTGCCCACATTACTGATATCTCATTAAAAGAAATCGCTCATCTGTGTTCGAACCTTCAACATCTCCACTTGATCGATTGTGAAAAAGTGATGGATTATGGAATTAGCGTTATAGCTACCTCATATCCAAATATGCTTAGTTTTTCTTTTGCAAATGGGAACAGTTCATATGATAAATTTAATAATGAGGGTATTTCCGATGTTTCTGTTAAAAAAATCGCTCAGTGCTGTCCTGATCTCAAATATCTTAATGCTAGTTGGAATTGGATATCTGATGATCCCATTTGTATAATAGTGTGATCATGTCCAAAACTTGAACAACTTTATCTTGAAGGTTGCAATATTACTGATGTATCTATGTCCACATTAGCAAATTTACGCAATCTCCAGAAGCTTGATATTGAGGAATGTGAGAAAATCAGCGTAAATGCAATCATAACCTTGCAGAATAAAATTCCCACTCTTAATACAGTGCAGAAGGCCTATAATGGGAACTTAGAAAAATTGAAATATCATGTGATCCACACATCAGATTTTTAAAAA